CTGGGTCTCCTGGTGTATGACCCGAGTCTCATCTTCCACAAGGACGAGCCCTTAATCCACGAGTATTGTGCAGCATGAGCTAATATCCAACCTGATTTGAGGCTCGCAGGAGTGCTGAGTATGAGTCTATATGGACTCTAGAGAGCTAAAAACAATTCCTCTCTCTTTCTGGCTTTAATCATACATAATAAATCATCTTGTAAGTCTTGCTTATGATATATTTTTCAATGCGGTAATTATGACTTGGATTTAAAGGCCACATAGCATCATTCAGCAAATCTTGAGCCTGAAAAAAATGTTGTAAATTGTAAAAACTGATTTTTTTATTTTAATGAATAGTGAGATATAATGAGATTTTGGTCTTAAAATACTGCACTACATTTGGCTAGTATCCTCCTTCCTGCTATTTGTAGTAGGTGGCCAAAAATACGAAGAGCTATTTGGGAGAGTACTGTAAGTATGCAGACTTCAGGATAAGATCTACCGCAGAGTGCATGATTGCAAATTATTTTCACCCTGCATGCTCTGCTACTCAGCATCCTCTGGGATAGTAAGCAAAAGTCTGTAATAGCTCTAAGGGCTCGACTCTCCCTTGGCAGTTAAGGATGTCTATTTCAAGAGCTCGTTTCGTTTCGAATGGGGAAACACTTTAATCATTTCTTTCAGCAAGTCGGTATATGCATCAAAATAGGCTTGATTTGACATTGACCTTCTGACGTTTACATCAGATCAGCCTCACCTTCATCTTAAAGCGCCACAGCGAACTGACAAAAATCGGACTCCTGAAAATAACAGGGAGATATGAGAAATTTAAGTTGTAACACTTTACAATAATGTTCCATTGGTTAACACTGGTTAATGCATTAACTAACAAGGAGCAATGTATTTGTTAAAGCATTTATTAATCTTAACATTACATCTTAACATCAACCTTTAGTTGATAAAAAATACATCTGTTCATTGTTAGTTCAAGTTAGCTCAGGTCCATTAAATACCAAGTACTGTCATGAAACTCTAGATGGCGCAGGCTGATGGGTCCTTAAAGGGATAGTTCACCCAAAAATGAAAATTCTTTCATTAATTACTCACCCTCATGTCGTTCCAAACCCGTAAGATCTTCGGAACACAAATTAAGATATTTTTGATGAAATGTGAGAGCTCTCAGACCCTGCATAGACAGCAGCACAACTGTAATGTTCTCAGGTTCAGAAACGTAGTAAGAACATCGGTAAAACAGTCCATGTGACATCAGTGGCTCAACTTCAGTTTAGCGACACTACGAGAATACTTTTTGAGCGCAAAGAACACAAAAATAACATACAAAATGGCGGAAGACATAACTTGGGGGAGAAGAATTGTTAAATAAATTATGTTTTCTTTGCGCTCAAAAAGTATTTTCGTAGCTTCGCAAAACTGAAGTTGAGCCACTGATGTCACATGGACTGTTTTACCGATGTTCTTACTACGTTTCTGAACCTGAGAACATTACAGTTGTGCTGCTGTCTATGCAGGGTCTGAGAGCTCTCACATTTCATCAAAAATATCTTAATTTGTGTTCCGAAGATGAACAAAGGTCTTACGGGTTTGGAACAACATGAGGGTGAGTAATTAATGACAGAATTTTAATTTTGAGGTGAACTAACCCTTTAACTAAGATTAATAAATGCTTTAGAAGTATGATTCATTGTTAGTTCAAGTTAAAGCTGCAGAACTGCTAACTTTTTTTAGTTAAAAATAATCCAAAATCAATATTTGAGCAAAACTATCGCCTTACTTTAGCCCGAATCACAACGGTTAGCTTATAATAATGTTTTCTAATTTGAGTGGTATGGGTAGGTTTTCGCGGGAAATTCGAGCATGCTGCTGCATCATTACATCACTTCTGTAAACATAAAGAAGTTGTCCCGGCTACTAGGCTATAGCATGTGAGGATCCTGCAGGTGGCAGTTCATTAGCCTTTTCTCACAGCAGCTAGAAGAATTAAATGTCAAAAAATCTTTTTTATGGCGGATTGTAATCCAGAAAGGATTATATGAAACACATGTGAATGAAATTAAATTATATTCCAGTTTTAAATGTGCTTCTGATTACAGATAGCCTGGGATAACGCAAGATTTGTATTTTAAAGACAACCAGTTCGAAGGGAGCATAGTTTGCTTTTTGGGTTAAAAGAATTTCTTGGTATGAAATTCGAATGGTATGACAATTAGAGATTAGACTGTACAGAAACTGAAATCTACACACATACTATACTCATAGTCACGCAATGCTGATGTTGTTAACATTAATAATCTGAGAATAAAGTATAACAATAATAAAAATTTGCACGGTTTGATGTGATATGAGCTAATCGATCGTTAGATTAAATCACCATTGGTAGCACGATTTATTGTAATGCTTTTTTCCTCAGTTGGTCAGAACAAACGTGGCAGACTTGTTACTTACTTGGTAAATATCCACACCGGTGCGGTGACTGACTGCCACACACACACTCTTCAGAACATTAGCTTCATCAGCACTGGAGCCGTGCCGGAGAACAACCCACGGAAGGAAGATAATTCTGCACACTGCTGAAATTCCAGGTTTTCAAACAGAGATGGCGACAAAGAGGCAA